TCAACTCCGGCTCCGCCCGAAGTTAGCTTTCCTTTCTTGTTATACCCTTGCAGAGGGTATTATAATTTTGGTCAAAAGTGTGCAACGCAGTGAAGGAGACATCTCCGACCCTATAAAGTATATATATTCTTGATCAGGATCACCTCCTGAGTTGATATAGCCATGTCCGTCTGTCCGTCTGTCCGTCTGTCTGTCCGTCTGTCCGTCTGTCCGTCTGTCTGTTTCTACGCAAACTAGTCTCTCAGTTTTAAAGATATCGAATTGAAACTTTGCACACACCCTTCTTTCCTTTGCACGCAGTATATAAGTCGGAACGGCCAGGATCGGCCGACTATATCCTATAGCTGCCATATAACTGATTGATCGGAAATGCCATTACTTTGGTGTTTGTAAAGTTAGGAAGTTGGGATTTTCTATGGGTCTTATATTTGGCCAATCAATCTGACCTACCAAAGTTCATAAGGATCGGCCGACTATATCCTATAGCTGCCATATAACTGATTGATCGGAAATGCCATTACTTTGGTGTTTGTAAAGTTAGGAAGTTGGGATTTTCTATGGGTCTTATATTTGGCCAATCAATCTGACCTACCAAATTTCATAAGGATCGGCCGACTATATCCTATAGCCGCCATATAACTGATTAATCGGAAATGCCATAACTTTGGTGTTTGTTAAGTTAGGAAGTTGGGATTTTCTATGGGTTTTATTTTTGGCCAATCAATCCGACCTACCAAATTTCATAAGGATCGGCCGACTATATCCTATAGCTGCCATATAACTGAACGATTGGAAATGCCATAACTTTGGTGTTTTTAAAGTTAGGAAGTTGGGATTTTTTATGAGTATTAAGAATGCATCATATGAATAATTTTGGAGAATATAATTTACAGAGTATTCTGCAAGGGTATATCAACTTCGGCTCCGCCCGAAGTTAGCTTTCCTTTCTTGTTTTTATATTGTTGATGCACAATAAACAGTACATACAAGTGGCTGAACGAAACCAAGCACGATCACATTAAATGTTTAGCGGATTACATATTCTGTAGATTCAAAAGCATCCATGACATATTGTGCATAAAAATAGTACCAAGCATAGTTCTACATTTTACTCGAAAAGACAAATTGAGCAATAGTAATTTAGTAGGGTAAGCCTTCTTCAACAGAAGAAATTTGTAAATATTCGGGACTGCAAACAATATTGTAAATTAGTACGGACAAAGGAAGTAAATAACAATTTAGTTGTGTAAAGATGATCAAATTCTTTCGACCATCGCCCAATAATTAAATTAAATTAGTTACTATTTAATTCAGAACAAGAAAGGAAAGCTAACTTCGGGCGGAGCCGAAGTTGATATACCCTTGCAGAATACTCTGTAAAATATATTCCCCAAATTTATTCATATGATGCATTCTTAATACTCATAAAAAATCCCAACTTCCTAACTTTAAAAACACCAAAGTTATGGCATTTCCAATCGTTCAGTTATATGGCAGCTATAGGATATAGTCGGCCGATCCTTATGAAGTTTGGTAGGTCGGATTGATTGGCCCAAAATAAAACCCATAGAAAATCCCAACTTCCTAACTTTACAAACACCAAAGTTATGGCATTTCCGATTAATCAGTTATATGGCAGCTATAGGATATAGTCGGCCGATCCTTTTAAAATTTGGTACGTCAAATTGATTGGCCAAATGTAAAACCCATAGAAAATCCCAACTTCCTAACTTTACAAACACCAAAGTTGTGGCATTTCCGATCGTTCAGTTATATGGCAGCTATAGGATATAGTCGGCCGATCCTTATAAAATTTGGTACGTCAAATTGATTGGCCAAATGTAAAACCCATAGAAAATCCCAACTTTCTAACTTTAAAAACACCAAAGTTATGGCATTTCCGATCGTTCAGTTATATGGCAGCCATAGGATATAGTCGGCCGATCCCGGCCGTTCCGACTTATATACTGCGTGCAAAGGAAAGAAGGGTGTGTGCAAAGTTTCAATTCGATATCTTTAAAACTGAGAGACTAGTTCGCGTAGAAACAGACAGACGGACAGACAGACGGACAGACAGACGGACAGACAGACGGACAGACAGACGGACAGACGGACAGACGGACATGGCTATATCAACTCAGGAGGTGATCCTGATCAAGAATATATATACTTTATAGGGTCGGAGATGTCTCCTTCACTGCGTTGCACACTTTTGACCAAAATTATAATACCCTCTGCAAGGGTATAAAAACTAGGGCGGTTTTGGAAATGTTATTTTTATACCAGTTACTCGTAGAGTAAAAGGGTATATTGTATTCGTGCAAAAGTATGTAACAGGTAGAAGGAAGCGTTTCCGACCCTATAAAGTATATATATTCTTGTTCAGGATCACTAGCCGAGTCGATCTAGCCATGTCCGTCTGTCCGTCTGTCTGTCCGTCCGTATGAACGCTGAGATCTCGGAAACTATAAAAGCTAGAAGATTGGCATTTTGCATGTAGATTTTGGGAGTTCCTACGCAGCGCAAGTTTGTTTCAAAATGGTGCCACGCCCCCTCTGACGCCCACAAGCCACAAGCTGTGGCCATAGTTTTGATGCTATTATGAAAATTTTAATTGATATGTATTTGTTCCGTCAATACCTATCGATTGGCCTAATAAAAATTTGCCACGCCCACTCTAACGCCCTAAAATCCATTAAAGGCTTAAGCCTGTCTAGCGCCTACATTTCCGCCTTTCATGGCGCCATCTAACGGATGACTTTGGAACAGCTGGCCAAGGTGCTCAACAGAGTCAACGTTAATTCTCGATAAGGATTTCTATTAAAGGAAATTGCGATGGTTTTCAGTTGTCAATACCGAACTATATCCCAAGAACTATGCAAATCAAATCTAGTTAGCCAAATTGGAGGTCTGAGTCAAACAATGGCGTATGTGTGTATGTATGTAAACATATACATATGTATGTATTTACATTGTACACAGTTGCAATTGCCCGGCAAAGATAACTCCTTTCAAAGAAAGCTATTCGCTATACCCGTTACTCGTGTTGTGCAAACATTTAGACTTTAATATACATAATACTATTTAATACTTAATCTTATATTAAGTTGTTTAGCTGAGTAACGGGTATCTAATAGTCGAGGCACTCGACTATAGCGTTCTCTCTTGTTTTAGACTTATTTGTATTAACAGAATTATATTTTTTCTTTTCACAATCATATTTAAGACCTTAAATGGAAATGGTTATTCTTGTCAATGTTATTCTTGAACATAAGGTAGTCACCATATTTCACCACAATTTTTATTTTTTTCGGAACTCTAAGCGATTTAAAGATTTACTCGCGGTTTGTGTCATTAAGATAAAATTAAAATTCAAGAAAATTTATGTTTATTTTGGGTTTTAATTCTGCCGTATAATTGTTTTGCAGTAGAAAACATAGGTCTCGACAGTGTCCCATGACTGACGTGGCAACGGCCATAAAACAATGTAGAGACGCCTATCGTCGATTCAAATCCTTTTGCGGTGTTCTATGTTTTCCACACAACAATTGTCGTTCCATTTTTTAACAAAAAAAAAATCATTTACCGATTTAGATGATTATTTTATAAGAAAGGGTAACACCAAAATTGTTTAATTCAATAATACAAATTGGGTTGCTAAATAATAATAAACAAATTACAACCCAATTTTTAGGAATTTTCGATTGGAATTCGGATGAATTCGTTCTTCTTCTCTAAACAAAAAAAGATGATCTTAAAATAATGTTATAAATTGTCAAATTGTTTAATTGTTACTATTCTAGGAAGGCCATTTTGAGTTACAATAAATTAGACAATCATAAAATATTGGTATGTGAACTTCATCCTGCCGTAGTTACCAATGGCTTCCACATAAACGTACTCATAAACATTTCCGTCACCATTTTTGTATACTCTTGCAGAGGGTATTATAATTTTGGTCAAAAGTGTGAAACTCAGTTTTCTCCGACCCTATAAAGTATATATATTCTTGATCACGATCGCGTCCTGATTGATATAAGCATGTCCGTCTGTCTGTTTCTACGCGAACTAGTCTCTCAGTTATAAAGATATCGAATTGAAACTTTGCACACACCCTTCGTTCCTTTGCTCGCAGTATATAAGTCGGAACGGCCGGGATCGGCGGAGTGTGGAATTTTTACGAGTGTTAAGAATGCATCATATGAATAATTTTGGAGAATATAATTTACAGAATATTCTGCAAGGGTATATCAACTTCGGCTCCGCCCGAAGTTAGCTTTCCTTTCTTGTTATATAGGAAATTTTTCGTTATTAAAGAGATTAATTTGTCATTACTTAAGTACATTTAATATATTTTAAATTAAGTTTAACTTTACTATTAATTATAATTTGTGGAACTCGGTAAAGTGGTACTAAAATATTTTATGATAATCAAAGATATGGAACATTGGTTCGTCGTGTCGACGGTTTTTCTTTTATTGGCATGTTTTCAAAAACAGTTTAATTAAAACGTAAGCCCGTATATAAGCAATCTGGTGGCGTTTTTATTGATTACCCACAATGCAAATTCGGTATACCTTGATCCCATTCATATAAAAGAAAATTATGTAAAGCTGTGTATGTGTATATGGAATCTATACACTGCAGTGTTTACAATAGGAGTTAACAGTAATGCAAGTTGTTCTCGATTTTCTTCCCTGCTCGGAAGTGCGGGTGCTAGAACAAGACAGGTGTAGGTGTGTTTGCTTTGTTCAAGTCCTCTTCCCACCTTTCAGTGCGCCCAAAAGAGATAGCGCTAATGCCGGAACAGACTGCAGAGGACCGGCCAAATATCGCCGACTACAACTGTATACCACCCCCAGAGCGCAGAGTGAATCTGGCCAATGGAAAACGACAGTTCAGGGCGGGGCGTGGCCGGCTAAGACCATCCATACCGTTGGCACCCTTGTGCCCAGGTCTTCAGCCATTTTGGCCGTACTCAGACATAGTTTGAACTTCGCGTCGACCACACGTTCCTGATTTCATTTAAATTGATGTCCCAGCAAATAAAATATTTACAATACATATTGTGGTAAAATTTTGTGTACTACATAAAAACCAGTGCTTCTGAAGTGGTTCCGAATAATTAGTGTTGTTAATATATACATAAATTTGTATGGTAAATGATTACCTGTGAAAGTGATTACGCTTAATAACGGTTAACACTAATCAATACCTTGAAGATAACGTGAATTTATGCGGACATGCTGAAATTATATCGTACCGTTTGCGCAAATAAATTGTAAGTTAAGACAGAAAAAGTCAACTCGGGTTTCAAAAATTTTAAACTTACCGTACCCCCAAAAAAATAGTCATAGAAAGTTTAGTTTCATGAATTCTGCACTATTGAATTTTAAAAATTTGTTAACGTAATGATTAAATAACTTCGATAGTATTAAAATACAGCTTTCGAAGTCATCAAATAATGGCGCTAACATGCCTTTAGTATACATGTTAAAATGTTAGTATAACACTTTTACTATTTGTTGAGAGCTGTATTATACATTAAACCATATTCAGTTTTTGTGTGGAAGTGCCTCCCCATAAACGGAACACCGAATTTTTTTCATATTTATTTTTACTTATTTATTATTGTTATTAAAATGAGTATACATATATTCTTATATTTATATTTATATAATTTTGTTCTTACTTAGCTATTAAAAGTGCTGTTGTGTTTGAAAAGCTGAAAACAATTTAATTTGTAATTAAAACGTAAAAGTAAATATACAAATAAATAGAATTTGTTTGACTGATCTCTCAAAATGGAAGTATATACAAACGTTGTGCATTATGAAATCTTAAAGATATACATCATTTTAATTTCTTAGGAATGGTTATCACTTATTTTTCTCACGCGTATCGATACAAACACGTAACTACATATGTGTATGTATATCTGTATATCTGTACTTGTAAGCAGTACAATTTGTGTGCATTTTTTTTACAGTGCTATAATAACGTTAATTTACTTCCTTTTATTTATACACAATTTACCTATAAACCATTAGGAGCAAAATGTTATTGGCCTTCTTTTTAAAACAATCGTAATAAACTTACGTGCTTCACCTGCAAAAATGCATGCATGTAAAGCATGGGCATTATAATATGAAAAATGAAGTTACTTAGTACAGGAATATATATTATAGATAATATATTAATACTGATTTTCTGTATCCTGCCTGTAGTTTTTTTTTGAAACCATTGTACATATGTACTCTTGATTCTTTTTTTTTCATCAAAAAATATTTTCTTTTGTTTATGACTGTTGATACCTTTCTTTTACATGAAATTTATTAACGTAAGCTTTTTTTAACAGGATACAAGGATATTTATTGAATTCTTAACCTAACCAATATTTTGACTTGACGGTCAAAAAATTAAATAACCTTTTTTTATACCCTTGCAGAGGGTATTATAATTTTGGTCAAAAGTGTGCAAAGCAGTGAAGGAGACATCTCCGACCCTATAAAGTATATATATATTCTTGATCAGGATCACCTCCTGAGTTGATATAGCCATGTCTGTCTGTCCGTCTGTCTGTTTCTACTCAAACTAGTCTCTCAGTTTAAAAGCTATCGAATTGAAACTTTGCACACACCCTTCTTTCCTTTGCACGCAGTATATATGTCGGAACGGCCGGGATCGGCCGACTATATCCTATAGCTGCCATATAACTAAACGATTGGAAATGCCATAACTTTGGTGTTTTTAAAGTTAGGAAGTTGGGATTTTTTATGAGTATTAAGAATGCATCATATGAATAATTTTGGAGAATATAATTTACAGAGTATTCTGCAAGGGTATATCAACTTCGGCTCCGCCCGAAGTTAGCTTTCCTTTCTTGTTTGAATCCAAATAATTTTTTCGTGTGAATTGGAATTGAATAATAAATATAATCTATCTGTAATATTATTTTATAATACAAATTTTATATTTAAACTATTAGTATTTAAAACGCATTACTTGATCAAGTTCTAATCCATCGGCTTAAAACATTAACAGTATATTCAAAGTACATTTATCTATCGACACACGTATATTACTTACTTATTTTATCTAGATAAAATAAATCTTTAAAAAAAGATAAAGGTATTTTAAACACACGAGTTTGAATGATTTTCTAAAAAATATATATAATTTGTTTCAAGTTTCAAACGATTTATAAAGATTTTGGTTTTTAAAGATTATTTTGTCAGCATTTTTCTTTCGGAAACTGATAACAACAAAATAGTTCGAAGTGATCAAGCTGCTTAGTTTTTAGGAAATCTAATTTAAAAACAGCTGACTGAGTGCGCCGGCCATTTCCATTTGCAAGAGTTTTATTCGCCAAGTTTGATGTCGACCTGATACTTTCGACACCTTTTTTGTAACCAAAACTAAGATACAATTTGATCAGCATCCGTCAAGTCAAATTAGCTATACTTTTAGGTTTAGATATTAGTTTTGGCCTCGTAACAATACCGAGCCTAACAAAAATATATGTGCCGCATCTCATAATTTTCTTTCATTTTTTTCCACATACCGATCGTCGTAAATATTGATTTACGTAAAATCTGAAGAGTACTCTTACTATATCATACAAAACAAACAAAAACTGCACATCACTCCGAAAGTGGCGTCAAGAGGAGTACTCATTAACATAAATGGCGAGGATCAACAAATTGAGCATTGGCTATCCCGTAGACCGACCGCACAGTAAGATGAAAAGTAAGACCCTCTTATGGTCTCAGTCAAAAGCCATATCAAACTGTGGTAAATGATCATATGTATGTCGGATGTGGTATTACTTCCTCATATAAAAACAATGTGGAATAAGAGGCTTGGTCGGTGGTTTCTAGTACTTAGATCGAAAAGTGAGTTCGCCAGCGGTAAAACTTTAATCTTTACCGTGTGAGGTCATCAGAACTACGTTCGTACTATTAATTAGATGGGTTGGTTGACAAACAGCTAATATTCAAGAAACTAATCTGCAAGATAGGGCTTTAAAGAGATTTCTCAAGTACTTTGGCAAGACAAGTCTGCCGGTGTACACGAAATTAAAAACAACACAATTTAAATTTAAAGGGGTTTATTTAATGATAATTATTTAATGGTTTGAAGTTCATAGCTTCAAAAAATTAATGAATCAATTTTTTGAGTTTCTTAGGTTTGATCTAAGAAACACTCTGCTCTGACAACTGACACTTCAAAAGATTACACTTTTTAAGCCTAGTACTCAGATCGACGGAAACTGTTCGTAAGTCATGAGAGAGATTAAAATGTTCAGTGGGAACAAAAACTAATTTTAATTAAATTAAATTATTTTATTTTAATTAAACAAAAAAATTATTTTAATTGTGATATTTTTGAAATGTTGTGAAATGTTTGAGTGTTGTTCTTGAAAACGATGTATATTTTCATTTGAAGTATCTTCAAAAACTATATTACAAAACTATATTAAATAATCGCGGAACCGGTTTTTTAGCTTTGGCGCTTTTCTCCGATTGGAAAGTTGGCATTCGCGTAAATGTCAATTAAAATTGTTTTTTTATACCCTTGCAGAGGGTATTATAATTTTGGTCAGAAGTTTGTAACGCAGTGAAGGAGACGTTTCCGACCCCATAAAGTATATATATTCTTGATCAGGATCAATAGGGGAGTCGATATAGCCATGTCCGTCTGTCCGTCTGTTTCAATACCGTTTGCGAGCTCAGTTTAAAAGCTAGCGATCTGAAACTTTCACAATCGTCCTAAAACATGTGTACGCAGATCAAGTTTGAAAATCGCCCCGATCGGACGTCTATATCCTATAGCTCCCATAGGAACAATTGGATATATCTTGCAAGAATTTATGATATTTCGCGCAGTGTAAAAGCTATTGACATTAATCTTTACAAATCGTATTTTTTTATGCATACCTTGATCAGGGTAAAAGCGCGTGGCGATCGGACGTCTATATCCTATAGCTCCCATAGGAACAATAGGGTAAAATCGGTTAAAATTTAATGATTTTTAGGATATTTCGCGCAGTGTAAAAGCTATTGACATAAATCTTTCCAAATCTTATTTTTTTATGCGTACCTTGATCAGGGTAAAAGCGCGTGACGATCGGACGTCTATATCCTATAGCCCTCATAGGAACAATAGGGTAAAATCGGTCCAAATTTGATGTTTTTCAGAATATTTCGCGATGTGTAAAAGCTATTGCTGTACATTTTTTCAAATCGTATTTTTTTATGCATTCCTTCATCAAGGTAAAAGCTCGTGCTGATCGGACGTCTATATCCTATAGCTCCCATAGGAACAATACGGTGAAATCGGTCAAAATTTCATGTTTTTTAGAATATTTCGCGCAGTGTATAAGCTATTGACATACATTTTTCCAAGTCTTATTTATTTACGCATACCTTGATCAGGGTAAAAGCGCTTGCCGATTGGACGTCTATATCGTATAGCTTCCGTAGGAAAAATTGTTAAAGGCTGCGAAAATATCCCTTTTTTCCCTATTTGTATATGACAATTTTGCAGTATAAAAGCTATTGGCATGAAACTATGCAATTTATCTAATTTATTTATGTACACCTTGCTCAGGGTAAAAGTTGCTGCCAATCAGACAAGTACATACTACATCCGCTATTTAAAAATTAAATTAATTACGTATAGCTAATCTTTTTATACCCTTGCAGAGGGTATTATAATTTTGGTCAGAAGTTTGTAACGCAGTGAAGGAGACGTTTCCGACCCTATAAAGTATATATATTCTTGATCAGGATCAATAGGGGAGTCGATATAGCCATGTCCGTCTGTCCGTCCGTCCGTCTGTCCGTCTGTCCGTCTGTTTCAATACCGTTTGCGAGCTCAGTTTAAAAGCTAGCGATCTGAAACTTTCACAGTCGTCCTAAAACAAGTGTACGCAGATCAAGTTTGAAAACCGCCCCGATCGGATGTCTATATCCTATAGCTCCCATAGGAACAATCGGATATAACTTGCAAGAATGGAAGATATTTCGCGCAGTGTAAAAGCTATTGACATAAATCTTTCCAAATCTTATTTTTTTATGCGTACCTTGATCAGAGTAAAAGCGCGTGACGATCGGACGTCTATATCCTATAGCTCCCATAGGAACAATAGGGTAAAATCGGTTAAAATTTAATGATTTTTAGGATATTTCACGCAGTATACAAGCTATTGACATGAATCTTTCCAAATCCTATTTTTTTATGCATACATTGATCAAGGTGAAAGCGCGTGCCGATCGG